AAGACATAGAATTTTAATTAAACCTGATTAATTAGAAATGTCACTTCATGCAGGTCTCTTTATATATTTGAATCTCTTGCTCCGTTTTTTATTTGATGCTTTTCTGGGCCGGGCCCCTCCTGGCCCCCCTGGTATACTTGGTCTAGATCCGCCCCTGCCTCTTGCTCCATCATAAACCCTCAGCTGAGCGGTCAGATCTAAGCACTCAGTCGGAACCCTTTGAACTGAGCCGGGCCCTCACTGACAGCTGCAGGGCTGCCGTCACCGTCTCCATGGAAACCAACACGTGGAGGGTCCCCAGCTGAGCAGGTGAGGCCGCGAGCTTTTGTCCCGAATGAAAGCGGTGGAAGCTGCTGGATCTGAGCGGGAGGAGCCCCACGCAGGACCCGGAGACCCAGCAGCTGCAACCTTCTCCTTACCTCCTCCTGCTGCTCCTCCTCCTCCTCCCGCTGGCTGCTCCGCTGTCCGGACGGAGGCTCCCGCATAAAATCAGTCAGTTTGCGGGTGTTTGCGGGAGTTCAGAGCGCTGAGCCGCTCAGCTGTGGGACTGACGGCGATGCCTTCAAAGACCGTCGGACAAATGAGTGAGGGCGGGAATAAAGCGGCGCTGTTATAGAAATGAGGGCGGGTCGCAGCTCTGGGTCACGTGACAAACAATAAAAGGATTAAATAATAAAGAAGTTTAAACCAGAAGTTTGTGCGAAGTTACATAAAATCCTCTAAACAGACCAGAAGTTTCCGGATGGGAAACAATAAAAGCTAAAATGCTGTTAAAATAATGTCGCTTTAAAGATAAACTTTCATTTTCTAATGAATTCTCGAACATTTTCACAGTTTTTTTGTCTAATCTACGTCATTTACTTTAAAAAGTTTAATGAATCTTGATCATGTTTTTCCAACATCTAAACAAAGCTGATAATTTAAACTGTTTAATGTTAAAAGCTCTGCTCTTAATTAATGGAACCTGAATGCAGCAGCCTTTTAGAAATCATTAGTTTTATTTTATTCTCTTTCTAACCCTGGCTGATCCACCTGTTCATGGAAACCTTGTTTCTGTCTCTAAGGAACTGATCTCAGCTCCTTTATGGATGAAGATCTGCTGCTGCTTCCATCTGCAGCGCCTACCTGTCCAGGTGAGACAGCTGCAGGCTCCGCCCACCGTACCCTGGTGGGAGTTCTGTTCTCAGGCTCTGATTTATTATTTCTAGAGGAATAGAAACACTTTGAGAATGCGATTCTGACCTGCGTGTTTTCTCCTGGAACGGTTTCAGTCTGCTCGTGTTCTCAGGACGTCCAGTCAGCTGCAGCTCCTTCATATCAGTCCTCAGAACACAAACAGCCTCTTTTATCTCTCTGACTGTTGGCAGGAAACCTAGAATAGTTCTGCTGCAGACGCTGGAGGAGCTCAGAGTTCCTCTGCAAGGACGACCTACAGGCTTACAAACCTCTGCAGACCAACCAGAGGATGAGAGAGTTTTATTATTACCACTATGGCAGAGTAATAATCAGATTAATCATGGAATCATTCTCAGGTTTAATCAGAGCTGCGACGGGTTCAGATCAGTCACTTTATTCAGAGTATCTTTGCTCTGTCAGTGTCTGCAGCTTCTGTAATCATTCATAATCAGATGAATCAGAGGAACCTTCAGAGATCATTTCAGTCCCTGCAGAACTCCAGGCTGGTTCTAAAGGGAGACATTTATGGAGTTAATTCTGTCCCATTATTGTTGCCTGTGTAAATTATTGGTTATTCAGTTTGTGGCAACCAAAAAAACAGGCCTAAAGGTCTGGTTATCCTCCCCCAGCAGAGTGTCGCAGTGAGTTTGTCGCAGATGTTTTTTTATTTCTGCCCAGTATTGAAGCGTGGT